ATTAATATAATAATAAGAATATTTTAATAATTTTAATACTTAAACTGTGCTTTTAATTTAATAAATATTTATATTTTTAATAAACAATGTACCTTTAAAACATAAATATCTAACATTTAATAACTCAACCAAAATAGTTTGAGGACGGTGACAATATTACCAAATCTTGGATTTAAAATTAGAAAATGCTATTTTACCGTTGCGTATATATATTTTTTTTATTGACAACTTTACGCTTGTGTACTGATTGCCCTTCTTTTTTCATTTTTCTGTTAAAATTAAATCGCCCAAATCCGTGGACCCAATCCATTCAGCATCAGAAGGCAAAAAAACAAAACTAATTAGAAATGGGTATGAAGAGCAAATGCTTTTGGTTCTGAAATTGCTTTCTTCTGCACTTTGGACAATCCAAAAGAGAGACTTGGTAATAAGGATGTTACGTGTATACTATCTCAGATCAAGCAATAAGTATGCAAGGAGATGTATCAGTACCATTCAAGAATAATTATGTCTAAGAAAATTAAATAATGTGTTAAAATCTATCCTTTAATTTTGTGTTTGCATGTGACCCAGCTATTGATGCACTTGGTGGCTTTCTATTTCAGTGGTGGTCTGTCTTTTGGGACATACATTGCTAGGACAAATGAGAATCACTCTGAAGCTGTTGCATCTTACATTGAGGTCTATTTGAAGAATAATTACTCTAAAGTTGTTGCATTCATTGAATGGTTGTTAGTTCATTTCTTTTCATGAACTCTCAAAATTTCTATGGAGTTTCATATGCTTTGCATCTGCAAGTGCTTGGCTGATGAGATTGCAGTCCTTCTACTTTATTCAATGGTGCAAGGAAACTCTGATTTTTTGGAATATGTTCTCGTGTGAACTGACATGGATATCTCGGTAAAAAGCAACTTCTACTATCTGCTAAAAAAAAAAAAATTTTTTTGTTTGACTAAAGAGCCCTAAGCAATTCCATGTTGATTTAACAAATTGCTTTCAAGTCCATTTGCATAAATTTTTTTTTTTTGGCACTTTAGGCAGCCTTTTCAAACCAGTTATCCTCTGCAAGTTTAATTAACACTTTAATCTTTTAAGCCTTTTCTGCTAAGTTCCCAGTTAATAATGCTGAATTTTTTTAGGGTCCTTCCCATATGAACCATCTCCACCACTTGCAACTCTGCCTCCCATTGAAAGAAATGAAAGACATGCAACAATAGCTCATGTCAAATTATGATTTGATTTTGCTTTGAGCTTTGTTTTCATTCTGCAATATTGTTTTGCATAAGATATCAGTTCATTTTGCTTTGTTTTTGGCACATAACTCTTTAGCTTAATTCAGTTCATACTTGTCTTCAATAAATTTATCACTTGTGTAGTATTTAATATATAGATGTGGCATACCTCAGCATAGCCTAATGCCAACATGTGTTTCTATGATGAAATCTATGATGCTTATTCTAGAACCACTATGTAATGCTTTAAGAGGGACATGTAATCAAATATACGTGCTATTGATCATGCTTCTTATACTTAATCAAGATTCTTCTTTTAATAAGAAAAGGAGGTTGTGGAGAAGTCTTCAAGGCTGAATTGCTAGGAAGCAATGGAAAGATGATTGCCATAAAGAAGATTATTCAACCCTCAAAGGAAGCTACTGAGTTGACTGAAGAAGATAGCAAGCTTTTGAACAAGAAGATGGGCCAAATCCTATCAGCGATTGCCATAGTTGGCCAACTTCAACACAACAATCTTTTTCCTCGTTTGGTTCATGTTGGTCGTCTTGCCAAGATGAATCCCTTGCCAGGTCCTCTTGCCAAAATGAATCCCTTGCCAAGTAGGTATTCAACCATTGTTAGTGCCTTCTACTCATTCTTTTGTGTTTTGTTTCACCATGTGTTATCAATTTTAATTGGAAAGTTATTTATTGAAGAAGTTTTTGGTCAAGTACTTTATTTATATATTTATTTCTTCTTTTAAGTTATATGCTTCTAGGAAAAGTTTTTTTTTTTTTTTGTACATATGACTAAAGGTTTTTGCATTTTATGTGATTTAGGTTGGCATTTCCTAGATGAATTAATGGATTACATCATCAGACGCACTTTACCCATCTTTTTAATGGGTGAAAAATGAGAATAAAACTCTATAGAGGATGGATCGCTAAGTTTAGAGAAATCTATTCCACATCTATGCAAGTACTATCTTGGATGCTCCATGCTTTTCTTGTATTGGGTCTTTTTTAAGGTTAGGGAAACTAGGGACCTCCCTAATCCCATGGTTAGTTTTGTGCAAATTTTTAAACTTCAATGAACAAGAATTCTTAAATTTTATGGTTTCCCCAATATTAGTTTTGTGAAGTTAAAGGTGATGGCAGTACTACATCAAAGTCATTGTTCTGGCAACCCAGGAAGAGGCTTTCATATGTATTGACATTTGAGTCAGAGCGAGAAAGGAATGCAATCATTATGGTTGCAAGAAAATATGCTCTTGATTGCAATGTAAGTTCTTTCTCTTTCTTCACATATTGCTGCAATGCTTATATGCTATCATAGCTTTCTAAAACTTCCAATATTATTGCAAAAATTTGATCTTTCACATGGTCTCTTCTTTGTTCTGCACAAAACATGTATATATATAGGAAATCAGGAGCTTTGCTTGCTTAGGTCTGGACAACTTGATGAGAAGCCTCTATTCCCATTGCATCCCTCAAGTGATGGTCATTGCTCTTCATCTCAGAAAACTGTTGTTTCGAGCATCAAGAGAGGATTCTCTGATGCAATGTATGGGTTTTCAGAGGTGAAACTACCTTCTGTTAAATGATTTGCATTAGATTGTATTTTTTTTAGAGGTTTAACTTGAAAATCGAAATTATGTGTTGCAGGGAAAAATGCTTTCTAACTAAGAAGTAAATGTGATGTTGTCACCTAGGCCATCTTCGAACTTGGGATTGAAATCAATTTCTATACTTGAAAACCTTGCATCTCAACCAACAAAAGCAAAAAGAGATAGCAACTCAAAACGGTTCTTAAAGGTTAATTTTCTACTGCAGCGGCTTATGCTTTCTACAAGAATATTACTTACTGGGAGAGTAATAGACGTAAATGGATTTAGAGATCATCAACAACTCCAAAAATCCAACACTTTCTATGGCTTCTATCCCACCAAAGACTTGAGTGCCTTGATTTCTCAAACAGTTAAATATGTATGTATTGTTTACATCATAGGGATTGAATTCTCTTAAGCTGAGTGATGTGTTTTCTTTTTAAGTAATGGTATAATATCAATTTACTATTAATTAATGGTAAAAATAAATTATTATTTAATTATTAACTTTATATTAATGTATTAATTATTAAATATTAATTTTTTTTTTTTTATTTCACGGACGTGGGCGTTGCCTGGGTATTAACTAGTTACTATCTATTGTGATACTCTGCAATAAAATAAAATTGTGGTCTACTATCATAATTAATTACAGTATAAATAAAAGTAAATATCAAGTAACACTATTATTTATTATTAATGTCACACTTTTTTTAAATTATTAACAAATTTATCATTTATTATTTAATTCTTTATTGTCTTCGTTTCTCTTTTTCGGCACATGATTTAAATTATTATTGTTAATGTTTTTATTTTCAATCAAATTATTTTCTCTAACAAGAACAAAAAGATTGCACAATACTCAGCAATAGTCGAAATTTAACCGATTATGTCAAGATCTTTGAGATTCAAAAATCCAACCTCTTCGACGTGGTGAGTGTGATGATATCTCAAATCCTTTCTGGCCGTTACTTTAGCAGTCTACCGACAATGTCTGAGAGGCTTTTTTTTTTTTGGTAGTAATGGGAGGATTAAATAAATAAGACTTAAACGGCTACAATAATTCTCGAAACAACAGTTTCAATACAGTCATAGAACAAAATACAAGAGAGCTCAGTAGGTCTCTCATCATACAACATAAAGTCTAAAGAAGAGGAAACACCAAGTTTGGCCAAAAAGTCTGCAGCCGCATTAGCCTCCCCTGTAGATATGTTGAATTTGAAAGTCAGAAACCTCTTGCATGAGACGCCTGCAGTCATGAATAAGCACACCAAGTGAGTGGAAGTTATGGTCTGCAGATTTAAGAAGAATTTCTGCAACTTTGAAATCTGTTTCCAGAATAAGTTTGGAAATTCCTTTGTTAATAGCAATATCTAAACCGTCCCTAATGGCCCAAAGTTCAGCAGCAAGACTAGTGGTAAAGCCAACTCTTCTAGAGTAACCATAGATCCAGGAACCATTATGATCTCTGAATATACCTCCTGCACCAGCCATCCCTGGGTTCCCTTGGGCAGAACCATCAGTGTTAAGTTTCAAGAAACCAGGAGGTGGCGGTGACCAACCAATGTGAACCAGAGTCTTATTTCTAGGAGTAATATCAGGGGAGTTATATTTAAGGAACTCTTGCACTCTATTAAGAATAACACTCTTAATTTGCTGGATGCTTTCTTGCGATGGTTTGTGGATTGGGTGGTAGCTTCTCTACATCTCTGAAATTCTTTTTTATAAAAAAAAAAAAAAAAAAAAAATCAACCAGGAGGAAAATTTGAAGGAAATTGATGATTTTGATTTTTGGTTTGTTAATCCGAGTGCTAGATGTGGGCAGGCAGTGAAGGTGGGGAAAACAGAGGAAAAAATGAGAAAAATAGTCCATAACTTCAAAATAGAAAATAGAGAAAAATAAAGGAAAGAAAATTAGAAATGTTATAAAGGGCAAAATAGTCCATAACTTTAAAATGGTGTGATTTTAAACATATAAGTTGTGGCAATAATCCCATTTATAAATATCATGTATGTTCTAAAAACATATTTTAAGTAGTCAAAAACTTAAACTTTAAAATTTAAAATTTCATACTTAAATTTAAATTGATAAAGAAGAATTAAAGAAAGGGAGAGATATTCCATTATTATACTCCAATTATTTGACGTGCGAAAAATATGTACTATGATATCATATGTATATATAAAATGAGAGATTAATACTTAATAGGTATTAAAAAGTATTAAAAAGAGAAAATAAAAAATATTTTAAAATTATATTATTTTAATAAAATATTTAAAAATATTTA